CATGTCTGCTCAGAAGCTAGACTTGACCGCTATTGATTGCCAGGTGTGCATACTGCAGTGCAAATAATATACAGACTATTTACTCTGATGTGATTACCATTAGAACAGGACTTCCCAGCTGCTCAGAAAGTCTCTTTTTCAGCACTTGAATATGTTAGTGGGCATGTGAGCAGGAAATTTTGCTAGTTTTTCAAAAAAGTAACTTTTCTAAATCATGTCATTTGCCACTTTGATTTTGTTTATTCCTGTCTCAGTTCTGTGTTTTTTAAATGTCAGGCTTCTGTCTTTTAGGTTTTTACAAAATGTTCTAGTGGATTATAAATTACGCAGTTTGAATTATGAACCATATCTGAGCCATGTGAAAGTGGGATATAAGTCTTTCCATAAATGACAATAACAATAAAAAAGTTATCACATTGTCAAGTCGGTGCATATATACCGAAGAATGAAAAACACCACTCATTGTGATCAGCTTTGAAAATCCATTGTTGATTAACAGCATTCCATTCTTTTCTGTTTTTCAACATTTCAGTGGAAATAATCAGCACAAAATACATTGTTAAACTCCTTAATCAGTCATTTGTAGAAAAATAGAAGTGTGTGGGACATTCTTAGTACAAAATGTTGACGAAGCTTCCCCACTGAAAGCACTGGAAAGTCAGATTATTTTTTAAGCTTATATTACAAAAAGTGAGATTCCATAAACTTTACATTGGATGCATCATTGATAATAACAAAGACAGTTTGAGAGACACATTAAGCTTTGTGCCTCACTTGCAACATTACAGCTTACACATGCATGTGCCAGAAGATGGAGTTTATTTTTCTGTGCTAAAGGACACAAACGAAGCTTAAGAGGGCTTTCAGATCCATTTTTCACAGCACGCTTTTAAACCCCCCCTCCCAAAAAAATCATAGCGATCTTGCCCAGATCAATGATAGAGAAAGCACTCCCAAAATTAGAAGAGCAAAAAGCTGATTATCCCAAAGATAACTTCTTTTTGTAATTATTTCCTCCTTTCATTTTCTCATGGGTTCTCAAGAACAGAGCAAACTGTCAACAGCTATGCTGGAATTCTTAACAACAGTTTTCCTCTTCTGCTTTCTAACCTGCCCTTCCTCAAAGGCTTTCATTAAAAAGGCAAATATATGCTAATGCCCTGCCATGTAATTTTAGGAAGACACTTCATTCTCAATCTTTTTAAGTCGTGCCTGGAGGTATGGGGAGACAACAGAGTTTGGAAACATTATTCCCAAACATAAGGTGTTACTCATTCTTTCTTTCTTTCTTTTTTCTTTTTTTGTTAATACAGTATGTTACTCATAAACCTATGCCTTACTCACAAGGAATAAGTAAGGTTACATTTATTTATTTATTTATTTATTTATTTTATATGCCGCCCACACTACCCAAAGGTCTCATGACATTAACATGTTACTGTTGATGTTATTTAAAATATATACTGTATAACAAAAGTTTCACTTAAAAATGGTAAAAAGCTCCAAAGGCCCTCCCAAAACAACGTTTTGCAAAACAGATCTTTCTTCATTTGAAACTGAAACATTTACACCATTATTGTTAAAACATTAAAAAGTAACAATATGGGCCTTCTGTCCTTCCAAGGTCAGTAAAATGAGTACCCAGCTTGCTGGGGGGGGGGCAATGTGTAGCCTGCATATTTAACTTGTAAACCGCCCAGAGAGTGCTTGAAGCGCTATGGGGCGGTATATAAGCAGCACGCTTTGCTTTGTTACAAAAAATAAATGCATTGGGACTAACATCCTTACTTTCAACATGTAACTTCTAAGCTCTCGACCAAAGCATTTTGCTCCAAGATGACACATTTTACGCCCCAGCCACTACTCTCTGAAATGTTTGAGACATGTGCTGTATATTCACCTCTTTGTGTTTTCTGCCCCGATCTCCTTTAAATATGAACCACTGTGGTGGCTATCACAGCTCCTTTTCTATAAATCTCTGCAACCCAAGTCTTTGTTTCAGCACCCCTTGTGGCCCCAAGCACAGCCTTTGAGACATCTACACGCACAACTGATGTAGATGTGATTGGGGCCACCATCCAGTCCCCACAGAATCTAATACAGAAGTTGGATCTCGTGGAAAATGAGACTATGAACCTCCACCTCAGGCTACTAGATGCACATAACAAAGTGCTACTAGGGGTCAGGGTGAGCGGTATAAACATAAATAATTAGCATATTTTGACACCATGACAACGTACAAAGGGCATTCAATCACTTATCAACGCATCTACAATGAAACAAGTTTTATTTCAAAAACAGACATGAAAGAAATAAGCAAGGTCTATATTTTCTTGACGAAACTTGTCAAACTGATCTATAAAGACACACAACCACTCCTTGGGGAACTGTCAAGACGGCAAATGCCATATAGGGGCAGAGCTTGAAAAAGTAACTTTCAGGGATGACAGTTCCCAGATGTCACTGGCCATGCTGGCTGGGAGATTCTGGCAGCTGTAATTTTTTTAAAAAGTAACTTTCCCAAAATCTGAACAGAGTTCACTTCTTTGTGAAGTGACCAGAAAAGAAGTGACCGGTTTTACAAGCATAGGTGTAGCAGGGCTTTCTCAGACCGGCTCAGTGGTTGAGCTTTTTAGTCCAGAAGTAAGCACAGCTTCTAGTGTTTGCAAATTACATACATAGTCACTTGATAAAAATGAAATAACTGGAATTGTACTGATCAAAAATCAGCAGCACGAACATGAGATTAATATGAAAGACCTATCACAGTGCAAAATTTCTGCCTGCCTTCTAGGTTCTCCTGAGTTACATATTTTAAAACATGATTTTATACAATTTTGTACAAAAGATACTTGAGATTCTTCCCAATATACTTTTTTGTCCAGATTACAAAGACCTAAGCGCAAAAATTAAGGCTATACTAATTTGTTTTCCTGTTTGAGGGCAATGTCTCATTTTATAGGTATGGGCATTTGCGCTATGGAGTCACAACGAGTGCTTTATGTTTATACTGTTCTTCTGCCAACCTTACTCTGACTGAGTAGTATTTTCTTTGGACACTGAATGCTACCAAATTCAGTGGGGCAAATTCAGGATGAATGTTTCTGAGCTGGGCTGCTATGTTTCTATGTCGAGAGATTTCCACAACCACAAATAGCCTAAGGACCTGTTGCTGTCCTTAGAAAAAGTCTCTTCTCCTTTTTACTTTACCCTAGGAGGAAATTCTTGCCTTTGGGATTATAGATGTTCTATGCCCAGTACCATGTCACGTTACATGGCATTTCTCAGATCCAGTATTTTGTGACAAGTTAGGGCTATGCATCAGTATGCTGTCACCCAACATGGCTGTTCGCAGGCACATCCTTACATTGCCGTGCAGAAATGTTCAGCAGCACAGCATTGATGAGGAGAAGGCGCAAACTCTTTCTGTGGTAAAGACAAGGTATAGTGGTCTGAATGGAGTGAATATTAATGCATGGCATCATGTTGAACTAGGAAATGGGGAGCACCAGATGTTGTTGGACTCTGACTCCTATCAACTTTCCCCATTGATGGTGCTGAACTGACATGAACTGTAATCCAACAATTTTCCTGTCTTGTATAACTGAGGAGAACTAATTCCATGTGCCAGAGATGTTGACTGATTATGTTGGACCAGAGTCAACAAACAACATTTGAAGTAATCTGAACGTATTTGCATTTGGGGGATGACTTCAAAAGGTAAGCCACAAATATTACATTGAAAGAAGCCTGGTGGATGCTAGTGCTGGGGCATAACACACTTGCTACTGATGTTTTTTTGAGGTTGAGGCGCCAAAGTATGTTTTTCTTTCTTAGTGGGAGATCAATAATAATAGATCTTGGGAATGTCTAATGATTTAATTAGCATACATGTTTATGTAGAAAGGACCTTTAAGTCTGATACTATATTGGTGGGTCATCATGGAAGGGTGTCCTCTTATCCATGAATGCTTGGGCGAGCTGCCATTTTGTTGCCATTTTCGTTCTATCAGGTGAGATCAAACACCACACAAGAGGACTTTCTCCATCCCTCCTCCCTGCGGGGCCCTTCATGGACCTTATTTCTGTCCTTGAGGGTTGAGAGACTCATTGGAGCACATGGAAGAGAAAAGCTGTTTCAGCCCTTTCCCGGCTGCACAGATGGACTTCATTTCATCAGTAGGAGAGGCTAAGTGGATATTACTCATGCATTAGTCCATGATAAATGTCTTCATTGGGGCTGAAAAAGTCTAACAGAAACATATTTGCAAGTATGCATGACCCTGGAATAGTACTATATTGAAGAAAACAGGGCAAAGTCCTATGAAAAATAGCTGATCCAGGCCAGGACAATGAAGTCATTATTTAACTCGGCATGTTGTGACTTATAGCAAGAATGGAGAATATGTGGCCTTGCAGAGGTTGTTAGCTGGCCACCCATCCCATCACCCCTAGCCAGCACAGCTAGTGGTGAGAGATAAGAGAAGCTGTAGTCATACAACATGGACAGCTGTGTGTTCTCCACCCCTGCCTTTACAAGTTCAGGGACTGGGACAGATGGTCCAGTCACAGTGTATGCACTGGTGGCAGGGTGGGCAGGATTGCCTTTAGATGGGATTGTGTCTTCTCGTTGGCAGTTGTCAACCACTGTGAAAATATGACACTGAAAATCACTTAAGGCACTACTCGTTATAAGTAAAGATGGCAGAATGAGGCCTACAAAGTGTGCTTGCTAACATCACAGGAACTACATGAGTGTGAGACTAACAAGCTGGTATCTCTTAACAGATGCTTTTCTAAGGATTGCCCTGGGGTGCAAATCTTTGGGGGAATACTCAAGACATTATGAAGTACCTATTATGATAATGAAATTCAGCAGAAATTCAACTTTTTTTTCAAACAGAATTTCAGGTGAAGACAGTCTCTGCAGGATGATGTACAACATTCAAAAGTTTCCATGGCTTATATAGGTTATCTGTCTGTCTGTCTAGTTTTTTTTCCCAACTCAACGGTTTGGAAAACCAACTTTTCCAAAGTATTGCACTTAAAGGGTAGTAGCTCAACACACATACGTCTCATATAGACAAATGCCATACAGAAACATTCTCACCTTTGACACGAATCAGCCATAACTGTAACTATAGCTGCACTGCCCAAATAACCATGGTTTTACTATGTAACATTACAAATAACAAGATCATGTTGTAAACAGTTTCACAGTATAACAGGAATCATGTTGTTAATTTCTCTACCCTCATCCCCAGACCTATGGCTTTTTAGAGTTAGCTAAATCGTCGCTTGAGAAAACAGTGAGGTACTCTAAACAGCTGCCAGTCTGGTAGAATGAGGAAAACGGCATGCATTAAACAGGCCAGATATATCACGGTGCCAAATAAACTGGTATTAGAACAAAAACGCTGTTTCCATAGCGAGTTTTGGATTTTTTTTGTTTGTGTGTGGGGTTTTTTTTTGCATCCTATTATTTTCTAAATTATAGATCTAAACCTACATTAATTACACACATATATACATTATTTAGAAGTCCTTTACTACAGTACTTTTGTACATGCTGGGTTTATTACTGAACTTAAAGAGAAAGAAGAAATTACATAAGGCATATGTACAGTATATAACTGAATTGCAGATCTTTCTGCTCTTCTTGGGTCTTAAAGCTGCAATGCAGGTATCTCACTCAAGTCTATCTGGGAGAATATATAAAAAGCTGGAGTTAAAGCTCAGGACATGAACATCACTTACAGTCACGCCATTGTTTTTGGCCCAGGTTAATACACATATGCCCTTTATTGTAAAAGTGAAAACCAATCCTGAACCATATAGTTGCATACCGAAATACCACTTGTTTTTTTCCTGGTTAAAAACTGAACAATGGTAACATTGTAAAATAATGGATATTGCAGCTTTAACCCAAATCTTTGCTCATTTTATGGGCAGGCAGGCAGTTTTCCACAACTTATACAGTATATGTATCCCCTTCTTTCCTCCCCTTTAAAAAGAAAGCTTGGTGGGTTTCCATCTTATTGTCAAGGTCTACACTTTGGACTCATTCTCTAGGTTGGCTACATCACCATTCCTTTCAGTTTGTTCTTCATGGATTTTGGCGGCCTCCTCCTCCTCCTCTTCCTCCTCAGGATCCATTTCAGCATGCTGGTCTAATTGACTGGATACAGACCACGTGAGGGGCAATTCGGCTCTGCTGGCCATTTCTGCTAGTTCTTTGGCACTATAAGATGGAGTGTTGGTCTCATATGTTTCATGGAAATTATTGTAATCAACTTCATAAAATCCATCCTCTAAAGTGAGGACAGGTGTAAATCGATAACCCCAAAGAATCTCACTGGTAACATAAGAACTTCGAGCTTGACATGTCATCCCTGGGAAGAAAAGAAAAGTGAAATTAGAAGTATCAAGAGTTCCCGGCAGCGGCCAAATGTACACCTCGGAAGGACATGTAGTTGAATACCCTTGTCCTTCTTAAGCAAGTAAATGTTTGCTATATGGAAGAAATATCACTCGTGAAAATGCTGAGTGAATATATTATTTAGCAGACTAACATGACCATACCCATACTTTTATTGTGCAATGGTAACAGAGTTTTTTGCTAACTGCACTTTTGTCCAATTTGAACAATATTATCTCTTTGTTCAGTACTCCTGTTGTTTAAGGACAGAGTCTTGTAGCACCTTCACCATCAACTTAATCAAGCTTGCATGTTATTGGTTTGTTTCTTCTGTCTCAAAGTTTATCAAAGAAGACATCTGAAAAGGAATTCTTTGCTTTATGTTATTATACAATAATGTCCTAAATATTTTTTAAAAAACAGAAATTTGGGAAAGCTACTCCTGGAATCCCCTAGTGCTAGCATGAGAATGTTGGTGTTGAGGATAACAAGGGTATCATAACCATTTTTAAAAAGAAAACAACCACTGAAAATATAATGAGTAAAGTTTGTGCTAGCTTTCTTGTCACTTTTTGGAGGTAAAAAATTAAAATAAAATACAAATTTCGAGGGGCATTATTAGTAACTTCAGATCTGAACTATCCTAAATTATTGTGTGACAGCCCAATTCAGCATTCCATAAGCTAACTCAAAAAATAGGGATGCCCCAAACAGAGAGTTATAAACTTGACACAAATGTAGCAGATAGTCTGCTCTTCATCTATGCCAAATTTGGTGATGTTTGGGGAAACAGTTTTTGAGTTACAATTTTTAAAAAATAAAACTATTTTACCCCCCTGCAGACATCCTTGACCATTTTTCCTGCAGATTTAAAACAGATCAAATTCACAGAAAAGATCCAACTTGCTCATCATGAAAGAGAATGATTAGTTCTGGCTAATTTTTTTTTGGAGGGGGAAAGGAATGTATTTGATTTGATTTATATCCCGCCCATCTGGTCTGGTCGACCACTCTGTATGCTTTAGGAGGGGGGTAATACTAATTTTGAAAAAAGCCATTTGAGAGACAAAAAAACCCCCCCTCTGAGTCTGGTTTTCTTTTCAGCATGAAATAAAGGTAACATTCTTGCAAGTTTGGGTGGGGAGTTGAACTTCTGACCCAGTTAGAACCAAATCAGGAGACTTTTAAATTCCTTCCCAGCCAAATAGACACTAAAAAGAGTTTCTATTTCTGGTATAACAATATTTTAAAAGATACTTAAAAATAGAGAATTAATATTCTGAAGCTCACTCATTTAAGCTCTGAAAGTAATGTTTGTGTTCTACGATTCTTTTGTAACTAAGAAAACAATTCAAAGATGCTATCTGCCATCAAGTCACTTCTGGTGCATATTGACTATGGGCCCGTCCAGAGTCGCTGTTTTGGGTGTCGGGTGGGTCAGGCTACAAAGGATCTGTTGGGATGTGTGTGACAGCCCATTGGGCACATCCTGTCCCCACAGCAAACAGCCCCTTGTAGCCCAACCAGCTATAAATTACACACTTTCTCTGCTCTTCTATTGAGGGACATGGAACGCAGATTCTCTTCTCACATGCTACAGATTGATTAAAATCAAGGCTTACCAGTTTAGTTGCAAGTAAGGAGATAGCTGCAATGTGAGGGGAGAACATAGGAGTGAAGGTTATGAAGACAGAAGGAAGGTAACTCTCCCCCCCTTTCTCAGCCACAGCTCCGCTGGGCTTGTGCTACCTTGTGTGGGGCAACATAGTCAATGGAGTCAACTGAGTTAACATAGCCCCTTTCCCTACCTTTTCTTCCAGACCTTATTCAGGTAGCTGGGGTGAATGACTTTCCTTTTTGTTTGTTTGTTTAAAAAGTAAGTGGCATTGTGAAATGCCAATGCATCAATGTGGCATGGTTGTAGAATTTCATTGCCTTTGGTAGGGAAATATTGAAAAAATAAAATATGAAAATATAGGAGGGGGTTTCTCCACTCTTCCTTTCAATGCCACAACCCAACTAATACATCACAATGTTGTCTCCTCAGTTAACACCACCCCAGTATCATTTTACTGAAAGTACCAATCTGTGGAAGAACTATTTTGCATCCCAATGAATCATGCCAAATAAAGTGCATACCCCAGCCCTATGCCATTTTGGTGTGGGACAGCTCTTAAAGGTGATGAATGAATCATTCTGAGTAGAAACACAAGCAGACAAGGTCTTTTTTTTGTGCCAAAGACTGCCATCAGCTTTCCCTATACCATAACTATATGCCAGTATGGACAGGCTCTATATGAGTTATTGACTTCCAAAATGTCCTGTAATTAACAGCTCTGCTCAGATCTTCCAAACAAAGAGCATCTCATGTTAAGTTGTTTTCTTTTCCTACTGCCCCCCTCACAGCAATATTGTCTTTTCCAATAAGTTCTGCTCAGATCTTGCAAACTAACCTCTGTGGCTTCCTCTAGTGAGAGGAAGAGCTTCATGTTAGAGCTTTCTCTTTTCCTACTGCTTTACTTCCCTTTCCCCAGCAATATAGTCTATTCTGGTTACTTATGTATCCATTACATGTGCATGGTAGGATAGGCTTAGTTGACTCATTTTTCCTTTTGTGAGAATTCAGGCTTGACTTGTCTGGAGCACTTGACTTACTGGTAAACCTCACCATCACATCAAGTACTTTAAAAAACATGTCCCCCTAAATCTTCCTACTGCCACACACACAAAACGGGAGAGGACAGTTGTTTGCTGATAACCTTCAAGATCCATACAAGTCCTCCCCCCTCGCCACAATGAGTAGCAGGTCCTGGTGATGAGAGGAGAAGTGTTACTGAAACAACTGGTGCTCCTTCCTCTCTTCCTTCAGTCTTTTGATACTTTATCATGAATTGCCCACACACTTCCGACTCTTCGGAATCTTACAGTCTAGAAACTTGCTTTTGCATCTTTAAATGAAAGAAAAAGAAAGTCCAAAAGATACTGCAGTCTGCATCTAGTATCAAACATTGTGTGGGTGGTGCACCAGCACAAAGTCAGCACACAATGTGCTGAGGCAGAATGGATTGAGCAGCGGGAGCCCCAACTCTTCAACACATCCTTGGTGTTCTCATTCCCTGTCATTCCTAGAGTGACTTTATTTTGAGGACAATATGTGAAATTATAGTGATGCCTTCCAGTCACCTCATCCCCACTGCTAGGCCTACCCAGCAAGGCTATGGCTTCCAGGACTAGGATACTTTGTTGAGATCCCTCCAACCTGAAACTCTCCCTGATGATGTCAGAACAAAATAACAAAAGCATAGCATGCCTACAACTTTGATTATGACAGCATAAAGACTTTCACACCTGCTGACATCTGATAGGCTACTTTATATATTTCTAGAGGGTTGACCAGTTGTGTGCGTGCCATAAGCAACCTTCGTTTCCCTTTTATATCCCCAGTGGGAGCATCATTGGGTAGGATTTTACTTTTACAACAAGTGATATTGTGTTAGAGTGGGAAAGGGAGATCTGCTCCTCAAGATCTTGTTAAATGACAGCTCCCATTATCATAGCCATGCTGTTTGGGTCTGATGGGAATTGGAATTCATCAACATCTGGAGGACCACTGGTTTTTAGAGAAAATATTAGAGAAAAGCAAGGGAATGCAGAAATGTGGAATCTTCATTCAAACTGCAATTGAGTTAACTAAATATCAGCAGCGCTATATTTTATTCAACTGTTGTTTGGTTATGTATTAAGGACATTCAAATTAAAGAAGTGCTAGTTTTGGTTCCTAATTGACTTAACAGGTGATGAGAGAGGAAAGAATAGGGGTTGGGAACAGGTGCAGAAAAGCAGCCCTCCAGACATAAACACACTCCTAATTGCCCAATTGTCGTTGCTTGAAAAGACAGGTATGTGGCACATATGGTTTATAAATTAATCTTAAAATAGAATTTTCATCCTAAAGGTTGAAATCCTAAGCATGTCTGTTTGAAGGTGAATTCTATTAAAATGTATAGGACTTGCTCTTGAGAAAATATGTTTCTCTCATTCTTTTCTCCCCTAGTGTTTCTAATGGGAGATTTCCTTTGATGACAACATCATGTATTGTCACAAAAGAAGGTGGACACACGAGTTCTCCAGCTTCTGTATGTATATGCTTGTGAAAGCAATTGGATAGTTGTAATTCCTTCAAATCCTAGTGAATTTTAAATTGATGGCCCCTCTTGGATCCTGTCTACCCTCTCCATCTTCCCTCTTTTTGGTCTGGGATGGCTTTTTTATCATCTCTCTGGCTTTAGGCATGTTTCAGCTTCTCATCAGCAATCTGGTAGGCTATAACAATTGTCTCTTTTCAACTCAGACTCAGGCCTCCTGTTCATCTCCGTCTTCATAATGTATCTTTTCAGAACAAGAAGGACAAGAGACCTTGAGAGGCGGCAACCACAACATGGGCCAGTCTCTTCAGAAGATGACTGGGAAATGTAAGTCTGTTGCCACTGTTGTCACCTTTCTTTTATGGGAGTTATAGATAGTAATAGAGTAAAATGGGTGGTTTAAAACAAACAGAGAATCAAGCAAATAGGTTCTTCTTGCCTGCGTAGTACTATCTAGTTTTTCTGGTTGTCCTGCATTTTTTTATAGAGGACAGTCTTCTATTTGAAGGAGTGGCTGACAAAGGACAGCCTTTTTTTTTCCCCGGAAGATCAGATCAATTAAAATGATAAAGAACATGAAGGAGAGAGACCAGGATCTTGATGCTGTCTATTAACAGCAAGGAACAGGACATGGAAGGAAGGAGCCTCCCTGAAGAATGTGAGTACTGTGACCGCACATGAGCATCCTCCGTCTATGACAGACCCCGTTAGCTGGTCCTTCCACTCTGGAAGCACCACTGGATTGCTCCTGGTATGAACAAAGAAGGTGAATAGCGAGGACCCCTACAGCAGACTCACAGCAGATTAAACTGGGCAGACAGGTCACCCAATCACAATTTCTCACTCAGGTGAGATGTACAGTAATGCACTTCTATTTAAATTATAAAAATGTTTTCTAAGTTTGCATTTGTTTAGATATACTTTGCATGTGAAATGTTGTGCCAATTGGCCTCCTATTTTGTCTTCTTCTTCAGTGATATTTAAATGGACACCCTAATGATTAGGGTACCTCTCTCTTCCTTGGAATGGAAATTACTCCTATGTGTATGTATACTAAGCCACTTCAATACTTTCATTTTTGTAGGCCCTGCACTGTCTACAGTGACACAACTGGGGTAAAATGCTGTGGCCAGACTAAAGATCTTGGAGGAGCAACCAGCCTTCAGGAGCCAGTATGGAGAGAAGAATCTGCTTTCTGCATTTGAATTTGTTTTGTACAATAATTATGGTTGTGGTTTTAGTTGCATGTTTGTTTCTGAGAAGGGGGCTATAGCTAGAAGTTCTGGAATTCCTTTTACTTGTCCAACTTAAAATGTTACTTTTATTAGTCACGATAAACTCTATTATTTGCTTTTGTTTTGTGATTGGTCATCAGGAGGTAAACATGGATTTCATCTAATTGCTCAGGCATGGAGTTTTGGAATAATTCCTGGATGTGGAGGAGAAATATAATAGCAGGAAACAAGTACTTCCCTTAACATATGATCTATTCATGTATTGATAATGTTTAGATCCCACCTTTCCTCCAGTGAGGTCAGACACAGCTCTTCACTTCCCCACTTCCTTTACTTTGGCTCTATGAAAAAAAGAGAAAACCTTGCTCTGTTCATTCTGAGTGGTGTTTTTGTAGCTGCTTTGCTTTTTCTTCGTTTTCTGTGCACTTCACCACCAAGCTCCAAATAGCATTGTTCTTAATGCCAACACAAGGCAAGGAATGACACAGTTTCTTTCTCAATGCTTTTCTCACAGTTGCCAAAGCAATGCTAATTTGGGACATGTTGATACATGGATTGACATATTCAATCCCTGGCTGAACTTGTCGATGTTTCATTATCCTGACATTATCCTGTCACCACTAGATGAAAATAATAGGGCTGCAAGATTTAATAAATTGATTGGTGTAATTAATTGATTCACACATTTCTCTTTGACTAAAAATTCCTCACTATGACTTTAAAAAGCAGCTTTGTACATTATGAGGGAGGAAACCAATAATAACGTTTATAGGTTAATTCCAGATTTATTGTTTTGATAATTTCTGTGAATGTTTGATTGTTGACAGTTCTCTTCTTAGCTGTTAGAATAATTAAGAACATTTTAAAATACCAGAATAATTGAAGGTTGCTTATAGCTAGGTAACAGAAGTTTTTCCGTGGATCCAAATGTGCCTCATATAATTTCATTTCACTGAATTTTGTGGGCACTGTGTTTGCAAGATGCCAAAATGCCCTCAGAAGCCAGCAAGAGACAGAATTATTATTTTTTTCGGTGGTGGTGGGGTGTCTCCAATTTGGGATCAACCAGATATTTGGTTTATTCCCACACTTAATGAAACAGGCTGAATTATCATAGCATGAAGATTACCTTTGACATCTAAGGGAAGGAAATGTAACTGCCAGTAGTGAGAAGATAATTAGCAGACTTTTGAGAGGCAATGGGACAGATAACACATTGTTGCAAGACAATAAGTGGGAAATGATGGATAGATTGGGTTATAATAAGCATATGGTGAAACTAAACAACAAATTGCTGTGAGGTGCTCAAGTGACTATGCTAAGATTAGATGAACAGAGTGTTGGATCAGCCTTGGAAGATATGATTGTTAGGCTGATAGAGAGCATTTTTAGGATATTCCAATAATTTTATTGGTTGACTATAGCTGCCTAAATAGCTCAGTGTCTGGCTGTGGAGCCAGAGGCTGGGAGTTCAATTTCTCACTGTATCTCCTGGAGAGCCAGCCTTGAGCAAATGAAAATGGTGGCCTTGAGCAAATGAAAATTGACATGACGGCACACATTTATTATTTATAATTAAACAATTAAACCAATAAGTAAGTAAGTAAGACAAATCTGACATAAGTGGTCATTATTAATTGCCAACTGTTTGTGAACTGAAGACCTGGTTATTTTCCTAAGTCTTTCAGAAGTTTGTCCCTAATATAGTAATTTTATGTACCCCTTCTACTACCAGCCTACTATTAATTTTCCTTTTTTTTCCTTATGTGGTTCCTATGGTTACATTTAGAACCCCTCTTTTTCACTGCTGTTTACTTGTTTTTATTATTATTGTTTATGACTGCCTTGTCCTTCTGTTAGCTTCCCAGAGTAGCAGCCTAGCTACTAGTTGGGCAGGATAGAAATGTAAATTAAATGAATGAATGAATGAATGAATGAATGAATGAATGAATGAATGAATTAATGAATAACATATCTTCTTGTGTAATAACCTCTTTTAGTGGCATTACCAGCTATGCAACAGATCAGTGGCTAAAGCAGACACCAAGGTAAACGACAGCATGTTGTTGAACTACTCCATACTGCACAAAGTGCTGGCATGTTGCATTAGAGGTTCTGAGGTTAAGGACGTCATTGGGGTACCTATTTAATTTGATGTTGATAATTGAGTCAGCTTCTCTTTAAGCTGAGAAACAAAAGCATACAATTAAATATAGCCCATCCTGTGAACACTTGTGCCAGAATCCAACTGAATGTCTATCAGATTCCACTGATTTCACTAGTGAAAGTGACGGTATGTGATCCCTCTCGTTCCTGCACCCCACCCCATGTACCCTAACATTTTTCTCCAGTCACCTGAGAAACCCTTGGCAGTTTTTGACACCAGGGAGGACTGCTGGAGGGAGAGAAAGCAACACCCAATTTTTCTGGTGAAAAGTACACAATTATAGGTGTGGATTCTGTAGCCCTTTAGAGGTTACTGGACTACATTTCCCACCATTCCTGACCAGTAGCTGGATTTGGGAGAGCAGCAGTTCAAGGAGCACATGCTCTCTCGTGTTCTAAGTTTGAATAATTTGAGTGTTTTTATGGACATGGTGGCCCTGTGGATTAAACCATAGAAGCCTCTGTGCTGCAGGGTCAGAAGACCAGCAGTCGTAAGATCGAATCCATGTGACAGAGTGAGCTCCTGTCACTTGTCCCAGCTCTTGCCAGCCTAGCAGTTCGAAAACATGCAAATGCAAGTAGATAAATAGGTACTACCTTGGTGGGAAGTTAACGACATTCCATGTCTAGTCATGCTGGCCATGTGACCACGGAAACTGTCTTTGGACAAACGCTGGCTCTATGGCTTGGAAACGGGGATGAGCACTGCGCCCTAGAGTCGGACATGACTGGACTAAATGTCAAGGGGAACTTTTACTTTTACCTTTAGGGGATGATGATTTTTTAAATTTAAAAATATCTCCTTTTTAATAACAGTTTCAAAGCAGACATCAATAGCATAAAACAGCCTTTAAAAGCAACCACAGTAACAGCAGCAAGATGGAACAGAAAGATAATAGCCTTAATCCTGAGTTTCTAGGAGCAGAACTCTGTTCATGAGATGCTGCCTCTCCTCCGGAAGCTTGGAGCCCCACTTGAGCAGCAGCCATGGTTTTGCAGGCAGCAGCAGTAGTGGCGGTGGTAGCACAAGCTGATCTGCTGCCTGAGGCAGAAGGAGAAATATCATGCCTGCCCACCACTTCCAGTTTCCTTTCCTGCCCCACCCCTCCTTTTGCCATGTCTTGTTGACATTTACCTAATGGAGGACAGTGGAAGTCTGGCAAACAAGTCAAGCAGTGAGAAGAAATTGGTGCCAGTGGTGGTCATATTATCATGTCCAAGCAAGGGAAGAAGGAGAAAGGGAGGGTGGAGTAGACAGCATGGCATCAAGGTAAGGTGGCATTTGTGAAGAGAGAATAGGCAGCAGTTGTGGAATCCTCCCCATCGGGGAAGGGCAAATTTGTTACTTTTGGCAGTGTGACATTGGAGATGGCTGTCTAAATCTACCTATTGATGGGCCAATGGTGTCTGCAGGGGAAGGAAGAGTCAAAGAAAATTGCCTCCCTCATTTTCACCAGTATCCATCAATCAGAGTGGGTTGCATTCTACTTACAGATGGGCAACTCAGGAAGGATCCAGGACAGTAAAATAGGCAGATAAGGAATTTATTATTTATGTGACATTGTGATTGATAGTTTCAAAGGCTAAAAATGATTCAATTGAGCCTTTGCACTATCAATCACATACAGCTTCCTTAACGATGCCTGCTATGTAGTAAAAGCATTTATGCAAATTTCCAGAAGTGTAGGCATACTTCTCTCTCTCTCTCTCTCTCTCTCTCTCTGTGTGTGTGTGTGTGTGTGTGCATAAAGGCAGAGGAATGTCTTCATTCCTTTGTGCCAATCTGTGCAACACCCACACACTGTTCCAAAGTATATGGAATTTAACAACGTGGTTTGAAATTTGTTCATTTTCAGTTATCATGGAAATATGTAACAGTTTCTTAAGCTGTTAGAGGAGACAGTGTCATTGAAGTCGAGCCAGTCACGTGGGTGTAAGACGATTAAGGTGGATGTGATGTAGAAGAAGAAAAAGAATACTTTTTTTTAAATTAAAGGATTCTGTTTCTAGCGCATTTATGATTTTCTTCTAAAAAGGCTTGGTTTCTTATTACAAGGGCATAGCCAATAATAATTCTAGGACTTAATTCATTGTCACACTACAGTGGGAGCATAGTTACAGTTACTGGAAATAAAAATAGTGTTTGGAAGCTAACAAATCAGATAGAAGGCATTTCACTTACTTAATTGGCACCCATTTTGCAAAAGTGCAAATTTGTGGAGAGTCTGAAAGGCAATGGGGATTTTTCTTTTGCAAGCTGGATGGTGTAAAAATAGGTATTGCTTCTTACATCTAGATATTGCTAAAGCTTACATTCTAATGATAGACAGAGATTATTATTTTCAGTCTGTACTGACTGCAAGCTATGTGCTATTGAGTGTTGGTGACTGAAGATGCTATTGCAGCTTTCAATTGTAAAGGCATAATCATTAAAATTAATTAGTGTGTTCAGGAACATAAATAACCCCAACTGCACACTCTTGTGTTCCTTTACTATGCTTGTAAAGTTTCATGTCAACTATGGAACTGGAAAACAGCTACACACATTGCCCAGTATCTTACTCCTTCTCCAACTAGAATAAATCCATTGACTTAATAGGATTAAATATGTGTTGAATTACCATTTGTTTTAATGGGTCTCTAATCTAGTTGGAAGTAGCAATAACACACTATTATTTTCTTATTTTTTATTTTTCCTATTTATAGGCTGCCCTTCTCCCGATAAGAGGACTCAAGGTGGCTCTCAGCGTTAAAAAGAATAGAATCAAAAACACAATAAGTTACACATTAAAAAACAAACTATAAAACTGATTAAAATACATTGAATGACTAAAACATGTAAAACATTAAAAACTACATTAACTAAGAAATGGCATCCAGGGCCCCAGTCATGGTTTTTAAACGCCTGCCTGAAAAGGT